TGGTATTCGCCGTTTCGGAGACTGTCTCCATCTCCAGCATCAAGTATCTACTATGTGGTAGTGGAGGAGTAGACAATCTCCAACACTTACGATATCAAGTCCATATTCCTACGGCTAATCGCCTGAAAACACTTCGTTGCGTAAAGTCGCCGTGAAAGCTTAAAAATTTATGCACTGTCCTATACATATATATATGAAAAGCGAAAATGCATAACCAGCCAAATCCGTTTCTAGGAAATTTTAAACTCTTTTTTGCACAACATGCATACAGTAAGACTTAATAGAAAGTTCTTCTGCCAGTCCTCCCGCCCGCCCACATATTTCGGTTCTGGAACTCCTAAGCAGATTAGGAAGGAATTTGGCAGTGAAGTCTAAAATGAAAGTTAAATCGTACGGACTGTATTTTGCTCCATATTGATTCGAAGCCACACTTCACTCGAATCATACTCTGTCATTTTTCTCACAAAAAGGCTAATAGTAAAAGAAGTGAGTTACATAAGAGTCGATTTCTTTAACATCTGCAACTTTTGTTATAATATTTTTAATGTTGCAAGACGAGAAAACGATGGAAGGGTAATATTAAAAGGCATCTAAGGAAAACGTGGCGTAAGAGGGCCAGGCTTTGATACCTGTATTAGCTGTGTTGATCTGTCGGATACTTTAAATAGCGAGTTGGTTGGTTAATTATTTACTCATCTAATGTATGTTTAACAAAGAACAATGAAAATAAGTTTCCTCTCTACAGTTTCATGTGGGCTATGTATACCTGAAATAGGGCCGCGCCATAGTTCAAGCGGTTAGTCTCTGGTTTCCCACCGTGGCGGCCCGGGTTCGATCCCGGGGTCTGGTCAAGTGGGATTTGTGGTGGATAAAGTGGCGCTGGGGCAGGTTTTATCCGAGTACTTCGGTTTCCCCTGCCAATCTTCATTCCACCAATTGCACCACAATCACCCTCACCTATCATCTGGGGCAGGTACAATAGGCCAGTGTCCCCAGTACAAGGGACTTAGTCCCACCCCACTAGCAAAGCAAATAGTACCTGCAATACCTTAACACGAAGGCCAATGAAGTCCGCGAAGTCGTACAATTTGTCTATAATCTATTTCTTAGATTAACTTATGTAAATATATCTGTGTGATTTGCTTCGGGTGTTGCTTCAGTAGCTGCAACCGAATGCCCGCTTAATTTTCTTACCAAGTGTGGAGAGTAACATGAAATACGTGTAGTAGTTTATGTTCTAACTGATTTGGTACTCCTTGTACTCCTTCGTACAATTAAGTTATTTCGAGAGATTACTTATTCAAATGTGAGACTCTAAAGTACGTTAAGTTTGTGACACACATTTCCTTCATGAATACAGCCGTAATAATTTGTAATTTTTCTTGTTTGTAGATTTCCAAATACCTCAGGAGTTCAAATTTATCGAAGCTGGAGGATTTGAAAGTCTTAAATATAACGTGAGTACCGCCTTCATCATTTTTAAAATCGTGAAGCCTTTTTCTTTGTTTTGTTTCAGGGCATGTTCTCCAAATTGTTCTTTTTTATCCTACATTCCAGCTTTTTATTGCCTTGTTCCGTTAGATGAAATGTGAAGGGCATGATCTTGGAGGCAAATTAATATAACATCAGTACATCTGTCTGTTCTCTTCGAATTCCGGATATTCTTAAATTGATTTCCTGATTTATTACACCCTCAGCAGTCTAATCAGAGATCCCTACTCACTGTTTGAAAATTCGCTTGGCTCTGCCGACAGTGAGATGCAGCTTACATGCTAGTTTCCCGTTATAAATAAGTTTTGTTACAACGGATCTTGCCCCCCAAAAAGTAAATTTGGATTATCTTCATAGTGTGCATCCTTTCATGTGTTCCAAGTAGTTACGTTAAACCGTCACCACAACAAATGTATACTCATTTTTAATGTTTACAGTTAAAAATTTATTTTGCTGCGTGTTTCAGTCAACGTCTAGTCATTGAGGTCAAGTTGGTACTAAGAAATACAATTAAGAATATAACATGAAAAATATGTATTTAGGATATATTAGAAAGTGTATAAGTGTTTTGTAATATAATCAACATAATTATATACACTTTTAATATATCATAGCTATACATATTTTTCATATTATATACTTAATTGCAATTCTTAGTACCAACTTGAGGCAAAATTTCCGTTATCATATAATATGACATGTGGCACTAGTATGGATCCATGTCAGTAATTCACTGACTAGACGTTGACTAGACTAGACTGATATTAGTCCTATGTAACCGAAACATATAGCAAAACAAAGGTTTAATTATAAATATTAAAAGCGAGTATACATTTGTTGTGATGACAGTTTAACATAACTAATATATGCGTATATACATAAATTTGGATTTTAAAAGTGGATATTCGTTGTTCCCATTTTACTTGGATTCAAATAATGCTGACTTCAATGTACATGTGAGTTATTCACTCTAATTAGCATCGTATATTAATAATATCCAGTAAAATGAGAACAATACAGAAGCATCTGAATTTGAAGAAAAACATTTGAAAATTTCAGTACACTTCTGCTGATTCACTAAAGCGACAAGTAACGGACGTAATACAAAAACCTTAATCCTCTTTGTAAAATTTGAGATTTTCACGGCAGTGACTATGAAGAATGCCGTCTTCTGGGATGTGGCGCCGTGTAGATCTTGTGTGAACCGCCTGCAGACTGCAGCCACCTACCCACGTTGGTTCCTCGCTCGCGGATTTTTCCACCCTGAAGATGGAGGTGATACGTTGCTCCGAAATGTCGGTTCACACAAGATCAATACGGCACTACAACCCAGAAGACGGCATTCTTCTTAATACTCTTAATGACACTCAAATACTGATCCTCAGTCGGAGTCTGTTGCTTCATAACTTTAGCTGTTGGATATTTTTTGTATTATTGAAACCTTAAAATAATATTTTTAGAGAATATATGCCGATTAAACTGTCAACATATTTAGGATATCTGAATTTGACATTCGTTGAACTTCAAAATCAGAAATATATGACCGTCACGAAAAAAGAACTAATCCGATTTCAGGGGTTTCCCCCCAAATACTGAGAAATATGATGACCCCAGGGCACACCGATAACAGGAATTCTGATACCTTTGATGTCGACGTGAACTTTATACTCGTAAATTATAGTCCATTGCCGTTTCATCACTGGAGGCTCTGCAGTATAACGGTTAGACGAGGCAGTAGTGAATGGGGGGGGGGGG